GAGTGAGTCAGAACGGCCGGCTGCACTGGCCGCCGAGCCGCTGACACCACAGGGCTCTGCCCTGGTCCCACCGACGCAGGGCTCCAGGCGGGAACAAAGAAGCAGAAAAGGTTGGATGAAAGATGAGGTATTGAGATTAGGTATTTTAAGTTACTGGGCCCTTAAACCTATGGTTACCATTGGCTACCACTTCTCAAAGCATCTAACATAAATTTAATTATTAGTATGTTTCAATTCAGATGTCTGAAATCTTAAACCATAGAAATATAAAGTATTATTTACTACTTCTGTAAAGCTAGGATTTATATCAAATATTTTAAAAGCCATCCTTCAGGAATAAGTTCCGGAAACAGATGATTTTAGGTATTTGGTGTTGAAGAATTTTAGGAAATTCTCAAGCATTTTATAAGTAAATGAGATTAATTCTTTAATGCTGCTGTTCACATATCAGCCTGAATATTGTCGAAGGTAAAAATGCCGGAAGGCTCTGTACTACATCGTGGGTTCTCCGCCCGAAGCAGTTGGGGACTTTTTTGCAACGTTGAGTGGCATTTGCAGCCTCACGGGAAGGGCTGTCGTTGCTTTATCGCGGCATCTGCACTCGCCCACGGCTCAGCACCTACTTAGGACCCATTTGCAGGGCCCATGCTGGGAGTGACACAATCTGATTTGTGTTTTAAAATAGTAGTAATTGTTAAAATTTTTAAAATTGTGGTAAAAAAATCCAACATGAAATTTACCGTATTCGCCATTTTTGTGGCTGTATTATGAAAAGACGCCCCTGGCTGCTGCGTGGGCATTAACTCCAGTGAGCAAGGCAGGCGGGGGCAGAGGCCGACTCAGGGTGAGCTGGGAGGGGGTAGGGCTCTGCCAGGAGCAGGCGGGACGTGGACCTGTCACCAGAGAGCTACTGAATGTTCTGGAGGTTTAGAGGTGAGGGTATCAGAAAGCCCTGTGAGAAAGCCTTGACTGGCCTGAGCCTCAAAGGAGGGGACAGAACACTGATTGGGGAAGGCCCAGGGCAGGGCTGAGCCGCCCCCCCCCCCCATGAGGCTGAGTGGAGAAGAACCGGCCTGGCTACACCATGAGCAGGGCAGGGGGTGGTGAGCATGGCGTGGCCAGGCCGAGGTCCGCTGGGCAGTCCTGCCTCTGGAACAAGGAGGAGCGGTGGGCCCGGGCGAGGGTGCTGCCTGCAGCGGGCCGGTGATGCTGCTTCACCTTCGCGGGGCAGACTGGGACACAGAGAAAATCATGTCTGGAAACCGCTGAACGTCGTGCCTGGCCTGTAGCTTAAAATAAGTTAAAATGAGGGGTTTTGCGCAGGGAGTGACCAATCCCAGCTAAACTTGGATGTCTGTCAGGAACTGGGAAGGCGTGAGCTCCAGGAGGCACTTCCCCAGGCGAAGGCCACAGCAGCGCCCGGTCTTTGCTGGAGAAGGTGGCTGGGCTCCCGCAGGACCCCTGCTGAGTCTGGGCTCCCAGGCTGGCCGCACTGAGCTGAGAGGCAGGAGCCTCAGGGGTGGCCCGCGATGCTCTGAGGTTTGAGCTGGGAGAGCTGGGAGGCTGTGCTGAGAATGCAGTGGGAAGTCAGGGCGAAGGGGGTCATTGAGGGTCTGTGCTGGGCACACGGTCAAATGCCCGGGGGCTGCCCTAGGAAGCTCACAGGCCAGCTTCCCAGTCGGCATGTCAGTAGACAAGTCTAGCGCCCTCCCCCTAGCCTGGGGGACGTTTCTAGATGGACATTTCTTTTTTTTTTTTGGCTCTTTATTTTTATTTGTATCCTTGTACTTTAGTGCTACTATTCTTTCTCTTTTTAAAAAATGGTATCTTTATTGTTGAGAGTAGTGCAGATGTCCCCTGACTCTTGCTCCCCTGGGAGGGGTGTGGAGTGTGAGCCAGGCCATTGGCAGGCAGGGCAGCTGCTAAGCTTCCTCGCTCCTCTTTCTCTTCGGGCCTCAGGGGCTGCCCTGTGAGCATCTCTCAACAGAAGCCACAGCTTCTCTCTGGGTCCAGCTCTCTCTGGTTTCACCTGCTTCCAGCCCTGAAGGCCTAGGGGTGAGAGTGGTGATAGCACCTTCCATAGCTGGTCCTCCCAGCCCTGCTCACACCCTTGTAAACGCTTCCTTTCCGAGCTGTCTCACGGCTGATGCCCCAGACAGAGGCCGGGCGTGCGCCGGGCCCAGAACCGGACGGAACATATTGCTGTAGATGCCGCTGCCTAAATAGATAGAAAAGTCTCCAGTTTCTTCCTGCACTAAAGTGTTTTGTTTTTCTCATCACATTTTTTTAAATTATGGCAAAATACACATAGTATAAACTCTGCCACCTTAAGCATTTTAAGTGTACACTTCAGTGTCATCAAGTTCATTCACACTGTGCAGCTGTCACCACCATCCATCTCCACAGAACTCTCTTCATCTTACAGAACTGAAATTCTGTGCCCATGGAACAGTAACTCCCAGATGTCCTCCCGCAGCCCCTGGCCGCCAGCATCCTGTTTTCGGTCTCCATGACTTTGACCGCGTTAGGCACCTCACATAAGTGGTCATACAGTTCTTGTCCTTCTGGGATGGGGTCATTTTCACTCGGCATATGTTCTCGAGGCCCAGCCATGCGGTAACGTGTCCGATGTCCTTCCTTTTTGAGGCTGAGTAATAGGCCACTGACGACACAGCACGTTTTGTTTATTCGTCACCCATCGACGTGCCCTTGGTGACTTCCACTCCGTGGCTGTCGTGAATGACGAGCCTGGGTGTGAGGTGCCTCTTTGAGACCTGCTTTCGAAGACCTGGGAGTGCACCCAGCAGTGGGATTGCTGGGTGATACGGGAATGTGATTTTTGATATTTTAAAGGACCTTTTCATACTGATGATTACATCCTTTGATGCACAAAGCCTTTAATTTTGATGTAGTCCAGTTATATATTTTTTGTTGTTGCCGTGTTTTTGGCGTCATAGCTAAGAATTCGTTGCCATATCCAACGTCACGCAGCTTTCCCCTGTGTTTTCTTCTAAAACTTACCCAGTTTTAGCTCCTACATCTAGGTCTTTGGTCCATTTTGAGTTAATTTTTGTCTATGGTGTAAGGTAAGGTCCACCTTTATTCTTTTGCATGTGAATATCCAGTTTGCTTAGCACCATTTGTTGAAAAGACTGTCCTTCCCCACTGCGTGGACTTGGCTCTCCACTAAAGCTTCATTCTTAGTTACTCTTCAGTTGATCTTTTAAAACTGTTTCTGTAGAAAAAGTTCTTCAAGTGTTTTCTTTCCACCTTCTTTTCTGCCGCCTTGGCCCATTCACTGCCAGCCCTCTGCTGCGAAGCCACAGTGCAGGCGAGGCCTAAGTGCTGGGAGTGGCCATCCCTCCGGGAGGCCTGTGGGGGGAGGCCTGTGGGGGAGG